TCTGTCCCTGTCTCTGTCTGTCCCTGTCTCTGTCTGTCCCTGTCTCTAGGCAGAATCTTGTTATTAAAACGTCATCTAGGTAAATCATGATCTGAGGTAGACCTTGCAAAATATTCTCCATTGTCCACTGAAAAATTGAACAGCCTGATGATGCCCCAACTGGCAGTCTTGTGTATTGGTACAAGCCCTTATGGGTTTTAATTGTAGTATGCTTCTGGGAATCCTTGTCTAAGAGCAAATATACCTGGCTCGTGTCCAGCTTCAGAAAGACAGCCTCCCTACCAGCTTTACATGTAGAACTTCTAACCGAGGGACTGAGTATTTATCCAGCTGGAAAAAGTGGTTTACTATTTGTTTAAAATCCCCACATAAGTAAATTGTCCCGTCGGGCTTCAAAATCGGAATGACCAATTTGCCCATTCTGCAAATTGGACTTGTTTGATGATTCCTTCACTTTCTAGCCTTCTGAATTCTGGATGTACTTTATCCCATTAGGCAAATGGCAGTCAGTGGGCCTTTCAGAATCATGGAATTGCTTCCTGGTCAACATGCAAAGTGGCCTTGGCTCCTTTGATAGTCCCTAGACCTTCCTGGAAGACTTCTGGGTACTTAATTAGGACGTCACTCAGGCAGCCATTTTCCGATTGGATCAACATTTTTCAATCTCGATGAATCTCTCTCAACCAATTTCACCCCATCGAGCTTGGGCCCAAGCCTTTTACTACAATCAGTGGTAACTGAACCAGCTACTTCTCATAAGAGACCAGAACCGAAGTTGTGTCCTTAATCTGTAAAGGTTCCCCAGTATAGGTTCTGAGTTTAGCTGAAGTCTTGTGACAACTCGAGGGTGAATTTTGTTAAAATCTGGTTCTGTGATCAGTGATACAGCTGCACAGGTATTGACCTCCGTTAGAACTGGATGACCAATTAATCAGACATTTGTTTTGATTGGTTCTGATTTGGATGTTGCTCAGCAACTTCCAAACTAGATGTAGGTGGATTTTCCAGGGTATGAACTCTCCTGGATATCTTCCTGTATGTCAGCCTATGAGTTATCTTATTCAATTTAGATCTAGTAAGACTCTAGTGTGTTGAGTCCATAAAGCAGCAAGTACAATGGCTAAATAAAAACCAAAAGAACTGTGGATGCTGTAAATCAGGAACAAAAACAAAGTTGCTGGAAAAGCTCAGCAGGTCAGGCAGCATCTGTGGAGGAGAAAACAAAGTTAACGTTTTGGGTCCGGTGACCCTTCCTCAGAAGTACAGTGGCTTGCTGGCTGGGATCCTGAAGAAAATTTTAACCGTTTGGCCAATCTTGGCTTTGTTTTGAAATGTTTTGTGGTGGGTTGCAGAAATCTATTCAGCTGAGTAAACCCCAGGGTCAACTACTGTGTTCCATTTGTAATTGTGTGGAGCAGCAAGATCCAATGCAAACCAGAAAGTGTTGAATTCACTTTTTTTTGTCATCCTCTCTGTGTGCATCATGCCATTAAAGCTGGAGAAGTATAACCACATGAAAGGCAGGTAGTCTTTTGAGTGTCATTCAGTTCATGGAATTTCATTGGAGAATGGAGTGTAAATTGCACTTTTTCATAATTTCACAGTATTTTGCAAAGCATTGGTGATGTCAACCAAGATTTTCTGATGTTTATTTTGAAAATGAATAATACCGCAGCTACTAGGAATCTGATCTTAAAAATGGAACTGATGGAAATACACACCAGATCTTGATGTCTGTGAAGAGAGAAAGTGTGTTAACATTTCAAGTTGATGACCTTGCATCAGAACTTTGACCATTCACTACTTTAGTATTTATGGAAGTAATCACATTTCTTTGGAGACATTCAATGTGGTCTCTTCTATTACATCTGAACCTTACACTCTACACTCTATTAAATTAGAAAATTACTTAGCTAACTGTGTTTATTCTCCAGATGACAAATCCTGCTATTCAGAATGACTTCAGCTACTACAGGAGAACCTTAAGTCGTATGAGGATTAATAATGTCCCAGTAAGTCAGTTTCTTTTTCCTTTTGAAAATCTAATGTTTTTCATAATTGTTTAAAGTATTTATACATAATTTTGAAGAATATAGTTATGTATGGATTTTATATGTATAAAAATGAACTCTCTTTTTACTATCAAGTTCTAATTTACTGTACAGCATTATTAGCAAGTCAGTATATTCTGCCAAGGCTAAGTGCTATTTTGAGGTGCAAGTAAGCATTCTTGCTTAGTTCTGCAAATTATGTTGTTACTTTCAATGATATACAATTAAAATTAGTCACCTTGTTTAATAATTAGATCGGAACTTATGTGTATTAAAAGTTGTGCTACATTGTAACTTGAAATACTTCTCCAATGATAACTGTTGTTCAAGCTGCTTAGGTCCTACAATCTATAATTCTTTCCCTGTTATGTATTGTAAACCTCTTAATCCCTACCTTTTTAGGATGCTGTTTGAAGTCCATCTTTTTGAGCAACCTTTTTGTCATATGTTCTGATTTCTTTGTGCATTGTTCACAATATTTTTTCATTAGCGTTTCTAAGACTTTTTAAGCACTTCAAAGGTGTATATAAATTCAAGCTGTTATAACCAAATGTAACATTCTGGATACTTTTAATTCTTTCATGGGGTTTTGGGCATCCCTGGCAAGGTTAGCATTTGTCATTATAATTGCCCTTGACCTGAGTGACTTGCTCGATGATGTCAGAGGGCAGTTACGAGTCAACCTCATTAACGAGAGTCTGGAGTCACATGTAGGCCAGACCAGGTATACACGGTATGGTGGCGCAGTGTTTAGCACTGCTACTTCACAGTGTCAGGGACTGCCTAGGGTGACTGTGTGAAGTTTGCACTTTCTCCCTGTGTCTGTGTGGGTTTGTGCCAGCTGCTTCTCCCAGAGTCCAAAGATATGCATGTTAGCATGGATTGGCCATGCTAAATTGCCCCATAATGCCCAGGGATGTGCAGGTTAGGTGGATTAGCCATGGGAAATGTGGGGTTATGGTGATAGGGTGGCCCTCGGTGGCATGCTGTTTGGAGGGTTGGTGCAGACTGGATGGGCTGAATGGTCTCTGTCTGCACTGTAGAGATTCTATGAGATGGCAGATTTCTTTCCCTAAAGGACATTTGTGAACCATATTGGGTTTTATGATGATTGGCGATAGTTTTATAGTAACAACAACTGAAACTAGATTTCCAGTTTTATGAATTGAATTTTAATGTCACCAGCCACTGTGGTGGAAGTTGATCCAGTGTCCATTCAGCCATTAACCTGGGCCTCTGAGTTGTTAGTTGAATGACATTATCTGTGCACCACCCTCTCCCATGTGACATATTTTTGAAATCTAGTTGGAAATGTTATTACAACTGGATAAAGATGGACTTACTTGCGATAAGATAGTGATGTGCCTGTAGAGTTACCACAGCTCTGTGGGTAGTTTAATGTCTTGTTCAGCAGTAGGAAGAGCCAGGATTGCAACTGTCATACGTTAAAGCAGAGTTGTATGTATTGTTGGGTTACAGCTTCTGGCTATTTGGAAGACACAGCCATAGCTATTACATGTGGGGAAATTATTTTTTGATTGGCATGTATGGTGAATACTGTGACAACTCTGTGAACTGAATATAATGTCTCCATGTATGCTAATAATTTGAAAAGAATGTGGAATCAAGCTGTGAAGGGTAGCGATTGTAATTTTGATCAATGCAGTTCAAGCAAAAACTTGCTTTAACTTTTTTAGTTAAACTTGACACCAAACTATAAGCCCCATTTCTTTTGTAAACCTCTAGCTGAAACTATGTTGCAACATTTCAAATAGATGATTACATATCAATGTTTTGGATAAAAGAGCAGCTATCACTTGGAAGGAATGATTCCATTTACTTCATGGTTGAATGACAATGCTGCCTTATTGTCATTATATTGGCCTTGGCAACAATTTTAGAGCACCTCTGGTTCAGAAAATGGTTATATTTACTCTTCTTACATTATCTTTTTGAACTGATTAGTCTTAGCATTTTTTAAAGAGAAATTCCATTTAAAACTACATTTCAGATTTATTTCTAGGTCGAATTATTCAAGTAATTCCAAGGAATATTGCTTTAAAGACTGATCTCTTCAGTTTGGAGTCAGATGCAAACATTTGTATGAATTCTATAAATAGAGGTGGTTTGCAGGATAATAAATGTTGTAAATAGTTTTGTTATTATTGTGTTTTAGAACAAAACTTTGCAAGTGATAGTTCATTGGTACTTTGACAGAAAGACCAGTGTATGGAGTAATGAGCTTAAAAGTTAGTATTGCTGACATGTTAATGTTTGATTCTCACTCTTTTTATTTAGGCAGAAGGAGAAAATGAGGTAAATAATGAATTGGCCAATAGAATGTCCCTGTTTTATGCTGAAGCAACTCCAATGCTGAAAACCTTGAGTGATGCCACAACTAAGTTTGTTTCAGATGTAAGTACAATGCACCCTGATTTACCCACAGTCCAAGTAGAGAATAAGGCTTTCTATTCTATATTCTGTTCACGGGCTAAAAGACTGCAATTCATTAATGACACAAATATGAGACTTATTCAATGTAGTAATGTATTGATTCGAATGACCTCTAATGCCACTTCCTATCTTTATTTCTTTTGTAGAACAAGTCTCTACCCATAGAAAACACCACTGACTGCTTAAGCACTATGGCGAGTGTATGCAGAGTTATGCTGGAGACGCCGTGAGTAGGGCAAAATGACTTAATGGCAGTTGTTTCAGTGGAGAAATCTGTTAAAGATAATGTGGACAAATTTTGCTGGATTAGGGCACCTTTTTGGTTATTTCTTTATTCATTCACGGGTGAGGGTGTTGCTAGGTAGGCCAGTAGTTATTGCCCAGAGGGCAGTTACAAGTAAACCACATTGCTGTGTGTCTGGAGTCAGATGTAGGCCAGACCAGGTAAGGATGGCAGTTTGCTTTCCTAAAGGACATTAGTCAACCCTGTGGGTTTTCCGACAATCGACAATGGATTCATGGTCATCATTGCACTCTGAATTCCAGATATTTATTGAATTCAAATTCCACCATCTGCTGTGGTGGGATTCAAACCCAGATCCCCAGAACATTACCTGGAACTCTGCATTAACAGTCCAGCGATAATACCAGTAGGCCATCGCCTCTCCTGCGAGATGTTTCCCTTCACCCTTCCCCTCCAACGTGGTTTAAAAGTTTTAATCGCAGTAATCGATGAAAACACATGACATTGTCGGGATTATGGAGACATGACTGCAGGATGAGTAAGGATGGACATCCAGTCCAGACCAAAAAGAAAAGGCAATGGAGTTCAAATCCTGGTTGAAGAGGAAATTAATATAATAGTGAGGAAGGATATTAGCTCTGATATGGAATCTGTATGGGGAGAGCTGAGAACCACTGGGGGGGAAGAAAAACAGTAGTGGGGATGTATATAGGCCCCAAACTGGAGGGGTGATGTTGGAAATAAACAGGAAATTAGAGACGCACACCATAATGGCAGATCTGTGATCATCGGTGACTTCAATCCGCATATGGATTGGACAGATCAAATTAGTAACAGTACCATAGAGGAGGAACTCCTGGAGTGTACATGGGATAGTTCTGGAGAGTGATGAGGAGCCAACTAGAGAACAGGCCATCCTGGGCTGGATATGGTGTAATGAGAAAGGTATAATTGGTAATCTAGTTGTGCTGGGTCCTTTGGAGATAAGCAATCAAAATATGATAGAATTCCTCATCAAGATGGAAAATGGCAAAGTTGATTGAGATTAGAGCCCTAATCTAAATAGAGGAAACCACGATGGTATGAGGCATTGTACATCACAAGAGTGGCTACAGATCAAATGTGCTTCATTAGCTGAAAATTGTTTTGGACCTTCTGCAGTCTGAAAGACACTTGTAAATATAGATCAAGTAAATTTTTGGAGACTGATTTCGTGCGTGTGAAAATCCAAACTTAAAAATATAACATAGAAAGTATGACATTGATGTATGAAGGGCAACTCCATGAAGAGACCTTTCTTAGTCTTGGGGGTTTAATATTCAGATAATAATTCACTGGTGGGCTGCTTGTCTCTCTCCTGTCTACTGACAGTATTTCTTCATTTTGGGTAAATACTATACAACAATGTTATTGCAGAAATCCTTTAAATATTAAAAGTTGTTACTTGGAATGAAAGGTGTTTTGGTAGGTGCTCAGTTATCAATGATGAATGTACAGGTCTACAGCTACAAAATTGATTCCCTTATACATTTTAACTTCTAGCAATGATTTAATTTCTGATCAGCAAATTATACTGTTTTTTTTTTCCTCAACCATTTTACCTTTGAACCCTCCTTTTGGCACACTTATTACATTTTAGTGAATAAATTTAAGCAAAATCTTGTTGCAGTTGAACTTTACTCAATATTTGCATGATGAAAATTTGAACGCTTCAATTCTTCTATATCCACTGGGTGTTTGATTTCATACACTGGCTAGCCGGAACCACCCCAGGTTAGCCCAACCCTTTGAGATCAGATAATTGGTTATGTAAGTTAATGAGCTGAAATCCTTTCCAAAATTGTGGATACATTGATTTTTGGTTCGTGTACTAACTATTTAAACAAAAAGGTATTGTTTGAAAGGTGAAATTAGTATCTGATTTGTTTATTTTTCATGTACAGGGAATACAGAAGCAGATTTGCAAGTGAAGAGACGGTATCATTTTGTCTGAGGGTGATGGTGGGTGTCATCATTCTTTATGACCACGTGCATCCAGTTGGGGCATTTGCCAAAACATCTAAAATTGATGTGAGTTTATTCTTCTTTGAATCTGACTGTGCTGCTTTCATATTTTGAAGCTGTTGTTTTCAAGCAGTAATTAAGCATTTGTATTTTCTATAATGTGAATGCTAATTATGCAGACAAATTATTTTTTCCTAGCTATATTTTCCGGTAATAAATGATACATTTCAAATAAACTGCAACTTAAATATTTGTAAATATGTATGTGTAAATTTATATGAAGCTGCATTAAATAATTGTGAATCTATGGAAATTAATATTGTTCCTAATTCCAATCTTCCTATAGATGAAAGGATGCATAAAGGTCCTAAAGGATCAGCCTCCAAATAGTGTAGAAGGCCTTCTGAATGCTCTCAGGTAACTAAAACAAAATTGTGAAACCTGTTGGAACTTTTAAGTTCATAAGTAGGAGATGTCAACTGCAGACTGACTCACTTATTAAAAGGTTTGACGACTAATTAAAATGACACTCTGGCTATCAAGTTCAATATAGTCATGTTAGAAGACAATATAGAACATATTTTTTGGTATTTAGAATGTCTATGGATAATACTATATGTTAAAAGAGTGTACATATATAATTGCAGAGTAAAACTGATCATTTACAGTTTAGAACAGTTTAGATGCTTATGGCATTCATGGCAGCCATGTCACTTCCATCTCGTCAATCACACATAAGGCCATCTCCAGTCATTTACTTTTGTCACTCTGCAGCCATATCCCCCTCTCAACTCTGTTTCTGTGAGTGATCCTGGAATACATTCTCTCCCAGTTCATTTACTCCGACTTACCATTCACTGACCTCTGAGAGAAAAGATTTTGCGTAATCTCTCTTTTTGATGGGTGGCCCCTGATTTTTAAAAATTGACCCCTAGTAGTAGATTCTCTCCCAAAAGAGGAAATATTCTCTACACATCCACCCTGTCAAGACCCTTCAGAATGCATTGGAGGCAGTTAAGAAACTGACCATAAAATGTTCTATGAGCTCCTCTCCTAGGCTTCTTTGTCTGTATTTTCCAGTTGATATCTCCCACAATTATCGCTGCACCTTTCTGATAAGCTCTCATCATTACTTCCTTTATACTTCACCCTATTGTGCAGTTAGTATTAAGGGGCTTGTACACCACTCCCACAGGTGAATTATTGCCTTTATTATCTTTATTATTTTTCATTTTGACCCAGCTATTTCTACATTTGGTTTCATGAACTTGGGTCACCCTTCTGCACTGTGCTAATACCATCATTAACTAACAGTGTCACCCTTCTACCTTTTTGTTACTTTCTTTTCATTCCTAGATGCCTTATATGCTTCAAGATTCAGGTCCCAATCCATACCATCCTGCAGCCATGTCTCAGTAATGACTACCAGATTGTACATACTCAATTCAGTCCTAAACAGAAATGAATATCTTTTTCGCCCAAAGGCTCGTGAATCTGTGGAATTCCCTGCCCAGTGAAGCAGTTGAGGTTTCTTCATTGAATGTTTTTAAAGCTAGGATAGGTAATTTTTTGAACAGTAAATGAATTAAGGGTTATGGTGAGAGGGTGGGTAAGTGGAACTGAGGCCACAAAAAGATCGACCATGATCTTATTGAATGGCGGAGCGGGCTTGAAGGGCCAGGTGGTCTACTCCTGCACCTGGTTCTTACGTCCTTATTTGCACTCTGCTTTTATCTGTTTTGTTTTGAATACTTTGTTCATTCAGGTACAGAACCTTTAGTGTAGCCTTTTACTCCTTTTGTAAATTCTAATCTTATCTATTTGTTGACTCTTAGATTCATATTGTCTTTTTTTTCCTTGTCATTGTCTATTTATCATTTTTTGTATTAATCCTTCTGCGTTTGGCCTTGAATCATATTTGATATACCATATCTTTCTAAATTTGATCACATTATCCTCCTATCCAGATTAAAATCTTCTCTACTTCCCTCATTAATACAGTTGGCAAGAATTTGCGCACAATTCAGAGGGAGGCCTTCCTGTCTGTACAGATCTAGATTTTTCCCATCACTGGTCCCAGTGCTGAACTGAAACTGAAACCCATTTCCCTTACACTGGTCTTTCTGCCATTTGTAGACTAATTACACTCAGTCATCCCTCACATACCCCTCTCAATCCCTCCACTGCTTCTGTGTTGTCAGGTTCCTTGATCAACGTTCGTAATTGGATGACTCAACCTGATTCCGTTTTTGGAACGTTCATTTTACCTCTACCTTGGCCACTGCCTCTGGCTGAGCCAGCTTGCTGGCATTCTAATTGGCTTCAAACTGAACTTCTGATCTGTATGCCCTCTCTGTCACCCCAACCCATTTACTTTAACTTAAAAATTGTCCATCTTTATCCCTGTCACAGCTCATCTGCTAGTGAAACCCTCCTTATGCCTTTGTTCCTCTAAGCTGAACTATTTTGACGCTCTCCTGCCAACTTCCCATTCTCCACTCTCATAAACCTGAGCCCTTCCATTATTCTGCTTTATCCTAACTTGTGGTAAGCCCCATTCTCCCATTACTCTGTGTTCACTGACCTACAATGACCGCCTTTTGGCTTCACCACCCCCTTACATTTAAAAATCACATCCATGTTTAAATCCTTTCAGTTCAGGCTCCATTCCACCCACCATTGGCAACTGTGCCTTCAGTTGTCTAAATGCTGAGCTCTGAATTCATTAACCTGACCGTTCCAACTCTCACTTCCTGTAAGAGGCTGCTGTCAGAGATCTGGTGATGGCTGGGGTTTTCACAACTGGTTGGCTGAGCTAATAGCGGAATTGGGTGATGTTATGGAGGAGCAAGTACAAAAATGATCTTTATGATGGAAAGAATATGTTGTTAAAAGATCAACTTGTAGTACAGTCGGGTGTGAACAGTCTGGTTTAGCCACAAGCTGGTGCTGCAGAGTAAGATGAATTCAATTGCAAATGTACAGAGTTTGTTGTAGGATCCAAAGATGATGGCTTTGGTCCTGCCAGTATTTAGCCTGAGCAAGTTGTAGATCATTCAAGTGGATATTAGCTAAGTTGTCTTTGTTAAAATATTCATTCATGACATGTAGGCATCCCTAATTGCTGCAGTCCTTAGGATGTGGGGACATCCACAATGCTGTTGGAAAGTCAGTACTAAGATTCTGACCCAGCAACAATAAAGAGATAGCAATAGAACTCCAAGTCCGGATGGTGTGTGGGGAACCTTACAGGTTGTGGTTTGCCCATGCATCTGCTATCCTTGTCCTTCCAGGTGGCAGAGGATGAGTTTTGAATTGCTGTTGGAGGAGCCTTAGTAATTTGCTACAGTGCATCCTGTGGATGGTACGTGCTACTGTCACAACATGTCTTTTGGTGAATGGAGTGAATGCTGAAGGTGGTGGATATGGTGCCAAGCAAGTGGACTGCTTTTTCCCTGAATAGTGGGAGCTTTGTGAATGTTGTTGGAGCTGCTTTCATTTAGTCAAGTGAAGAGTATTCTGTCACACACCTGACTTATGCATTGTATATGATGGACATGGATTGGAGAGAAAGGAGGACTTATCACAGCATTCCTAGCCTCTGATCTGCTCTTTTAGCCACAGTATACAGCTGGCCCAGTTCAATTTCTGGTCAATGGTATCTTCCACGATATCGCTAGTAGGGAATTCAGTGAAGATAATGCAATTGAATGTCAAAGGGACATATTTAGGTCTGTCTTATTTGAGATGGTCATCGCCTAACATTTGAAATGCGAATGTTGCTTGCATCTCACTGGTACAAACATTGATGTTGTCCAGGTCTTGTTGCGTATAGATATAGACTGCTTTTGAAGTTTCACAAATGGTGCTGACTATTGTTCAATTATTGGCAAATAACCCCACTTCTGATTTTGATGAAGATTGGGTCATTGATGAAGCAGCTGGAGATGGTTGGGCCTAGGACAGTACCCTGAGGAGCTCCTGCAGAGATGTCCTGGCATTGAGATAATTGACCTCCAATAACCACAACCATCTTCTTCCTTTGTGCTAGGTACGGTTCTGAATAGTGGAGAGTTTCCTTTGATTACATTTGATTTGAGCTTGGGCATATTCCCTTGTCAACTTGGCCTTAATGCTAAGGGCAGTCATTCTTATCTCACCCCTCTTCACCTCTAGAGCTCATGTTTGGATCAAGGCTGCATTGAGATTGGAAGTTGAGTGGTTCCGCTAGAACGCAAACTGAGTGTCTGTGAGCAGGTTGTTCCTCTGCAAGTGCCGCTTGATAGCACTGTTGATAACCCCTTCCATCACTTTGATTTGAGAGTAGATTGTAATAGGCAGTAATTGCCCAAATGGGATTGCTTGTATACAGGGGCAAATTTCAACATTACCAGGGAGTTGCCAGTGTTGTAGCTGTATTGGAACAGTCTGGCTGAGACACAGCTATTTCTGGAGCTCAAATTTTCAGTACAATTGCCAGAATGTTGTCAGGGTTCATAGGCCTTACAGTATCCAGTGCCTTCACCCATTTCTTGATATCAGATGGAGTGAATTGAATTGACTAAAGACTGACATCTGTGATTCTGAAGGCCTCAGGAGGATGCCTAGCTGGATCATTCGCTCAGTACTTCTTGCTGAAGATGAATATCTGGCGACTCAAATGAAGAGGAAAAATCAAGAAAGCTGCTGGACTGTGGAGTTGGATGTCAGTGGGGTCAAAAATAAATCCTAAGGAGAGTTTGGAGGTAACAGTGGATAGGTAGGAAGAGAAGTCATCGCTAGCAATTCTGTAGCTACAATTTGATCAGCAAGCACATAACCAAACAAGAGCAGGCCAAATGAGCTAAATACTAGAGAAGTGTCTAAGGCAACTAATACACCGTGTCCACAGAGAGGCAGGAGTGGAATCCTGATTGTATCAGAGATAGTAGGAACTGCAGATGCTGGAGAATCTGAGATAACACGGTGTAGAGCTGGATGAACACAGCAGGCCAAGCAGCATCAGAGGAGCAGGAAGGCTGACGTTTCGGGCCTAGACCCTTCTTCAGAAATGGGGAGGGGGGAAGGGCGTTCTGAAATAAATAGGGAGAGAGGGGGAGGCGGATAGAAGATGGATAGAGGAGAAGATAGGTGGAGAGGAGACAGACAGGTCAAAGAGGCGGGGATGGAGCCAGTAAAGGTGTGTGTAGGTGGGGAGGTAGGGAGGAAGGACAGGTTAGGGAGGCGGGGACGAGCTGGGCTGGTTTTGGGATGCGGTAGGGGGAGGGGAGATTTTGAAGCTTGTGAAATCCACATTGATATCATTGGGCTGCAGGGTTCCCAAGCGGAATATGAGTTGCTGTTCCTGCAACCTTCGGGTGGCATTGTTGTGGCACTGCAGGGAGGCCCAGGATGGACATGTCGTCTGAGGAATGGGAGGGGGAGTTGAAATGGTTGGCGACTGGGAGGTACAGTTGTTTAGACCTCAGTGAGGGGGAGGTCTGGGGGGATGGTGAAGACTCGGCAGGGCTGAGTGTTGCTGTCTCCTCTGGAGCTGCGGGCTGTGGAGGCGATGGGCGGAGTTGTGTCGGCGTCGGCTGTGGGCGGAGTTGTGTCGGCGTCTGTGATGGCCGGAGCGGCGTCGATGGGTGGGCGGAGTGGGGTAGGCAGCGGCAGCAGCGGTGGTGACGGTAGGTGCGTCTTCAGTGTCTGGTGTTGGCCTCGGAAATGGAGGCAGTGGCGTCGGCAGCGATGGCATTTGCTGTCCCGGAAGTGGTGTACCCGGCGGCGGCAGCAGATGTGACGTCATCTATGGGTGCTCCGACGGTGGACACATTGTTTTTCCAGGAGGAGGGGGTGTGTTGGAGGCGGGAGAAGGGGTCAGTAGAGGGTCCAGGAGGAGCTTTTATTGGACACTAAAAACCGTAAGTACAGTAAACTTACGGGTGCCTACCACACAAAACGGGCTTCCTCCACCTCCAAAATCCCCAACCCTACCCAGGACCTTCCCCACAATGTGCCACTGACACCCTCATCCGCTTAGCCAAACTCGTCCTCCCCCTCAACAACTTCTCTTTCAATTCCTCCCACTTCCTACAGACAAAAGGGGTGGCCATGGGTACCCGCATGGGTCCAAGCTACGCCTGCCTCTTTGTAGGTCACGTGGAACAATCCCTCTTCCGTACCTACACTGGCCCTAAACCCCACCTCTTCCTCTGTTACATTGATGACTGTATCGGCGCTGCCTCATGCTCACACGAGGAGCTCGAACAGTTCATCCACTTCACCAACACCTTCCACCCCAACCTTAAGTTCACCTGGACCATCTCTAACACCTCTCTCTCCTTCCTGGACCTCTCTGTCTCCATCTCGGGCAACCACCTAGAAACTGATATCCATTTCAAGCCCACCGACTCCCACAGCTACCTAGAATACACCTCCTCCCACCCACCTTCCTGCAAAAATGCCATCCCCTATTCCCAATTCCTTCGCCTCCGCCGCATCTGCTCCCAGGATGAGGCATTCCACTCCCGTACATCTCAGATGTCCTCGTTTTTCAAGGACCTCAACTCCCGCGCCCCCCCGCCCCCGTGGCCGAGAACGCCCTTGACCGTGTCTCCCGCATTTCCCGCAACTCATCCCTCACACCCCATCCCCGCAATAACAACCAAAAAAGAATCCCCCTCGTCCTCACGTACCACCCCACCAACCTCCGGATCCAACGCATCATCCTCCGACACTTCCGCCATCTGCAATCCAACCCCACCACCAAAGACATTTTCCCTCCCCACCCTTATTTGCTTTCCGGAGGGACCACTCTCTCCGTGACTCCCTTGTCGGCTCCACACTCCCCTCCAGCTCCACCACACCTAGCACTTTTCCCTGCAACCGCAGGAAGTGCTACACCTGCCCCTACACCTCCCCCCTCATCCCCATCCCAGGCCGCAAGAAGATTTTCCACATCAAGCAGATGTTCACCTGCACATCTGCTAATGTGGTATACTGCATCTGCTGTTCCCGTTGTCGCCTCCTCTACATCGGGGAAACCAAGCGGAGGCTTGGGGACCGCTCTGCAGAACATCTATGCTCAGTTTGCACTAAACAACTGCACCTCCCAGTCGCGAACCATTTCAACTCCCCCTCCCATTCCTCAGACGACATGTCCATCCTGGGCCTCCTGCAGTGCCACAACGATGCCACCCGAAGGTTGCATGAACAGCAACTCCTATTCCGCTTGGGAACCCTGCAGCCCAATGGTATCAATGTGGATTTCACAAGCTTCAAAATATCCCCTCCCACTACCGCATCCCAAAACCAGCCCAGCTCGTCCCTGCCTCCCTAACCTGTCCTTCCTCCCACCTATCCCCTCCTCCCACCTCTCCCGTCCTCCCACCTCAAGCCCCACCCCCATCTCCTACCTACTAACCTCATCCCGCCCCCTTGACCTGTCTGTCCTCCCTGGACTGACCTATCCCCTCCCTAACTCCCCACCTACACTCACCCTTACTGGCTCCATCCCCGCCTCTTTGACCGGTCTGTCTCCTCTCCACCTATCTTCTCCTCTATCCATCTTCTTTCCGGCTCCCCCCTCTCTCTATTTATTTCAGAACCCCCTTCCCCTCCCCCATTTCTGAAGAAGGGTCTAGGCCCGAAACGTCAGCCTTCCTGCTCCTATGATGCTGCTTGGCCTACTGTGTTCATCCAGCTCTACACCGTGTTATCCCTGGAATCCTGATGGGACAGGTTTAAGTATGGAGATGAGTACAGCTTTGGGAGAACTTTTGGAAGTTTTTGAAGAGAGGCCTGAAATAGAGTGCTAGTTTGCAACCTCCAAATTGCAGGGCAAGATTTTTTTAAGGCAGAATGACAATACTTTGATCAAGCCTTGTAACTTCTTTATGCTGGTCTTTGAGAAGTGATTTGGTGTGACTGCGTAGAATTTACAGAAACAGGCCATTTGCCCAATTTTTCTGTTCTGGTGTTTATATTCCTTGCAAGCCACTCCTGCTCTACTTTATCAAACCCTATCCACGTATTCTTTTATTCCATTCTCTCACATACGTTTAGTTAGCTTTCCCTTAAAGGCGATAATGTTATTCATCTTGACTATGCATTGCTATAGTAAGTCCTACTTCAAACTAGTCTTTTGGCAAGGAAGTTCGTTCTAAATTCTCTGTTGGATATATTTCTAGCACCTAGTTTGGACTTACGCAGCAAGGGAAAGCAATTTTTCAATGCCTTCCTTATCAGATCTATACATGATTTTAACAATCATCTAATTTTCCTAAAAAACACTGATCTATGCAGGCATTGCTGCATGAGGTGAAATAGAGAGTTTAATAAAGTTCTCTGATTATTTTGTCCATTTGGATTGTTGTAATAGCTGTGTGTAATATAATATGTCCTTATGACTAAAGTTAACCCATTTAATCTGATACATTGTTTAAAAGATATGGCATTCTGCTTTCCAGGTACACCACCAAACATTTGAATGATGAGACTACCTCCAAACAAATTAAGACAATGTTGCAGTAAAGCATAGCAACAAACTGGCTACAGAAAACAGTATTCTGCAATGATTGAGATGCACAGATATGTTTTTAATGTTTAAAGAATGCAACTGCTTTTTCTTTGTTTTTTTAAAATGTGTTCCTGCTCTTTAAAAATTGCTAAAGTTATTTTCTGTGCCAAATTCTCTAAAAGGACATAAACAGTGGAAAAAGTGTTTACTTTGTTTTGCGTTTGATTGAATGGATGGTCATGGAGCACATTGGCAGCTACTATTCCAAGTTGGGTGTCTTTGTATGTGTAAGGAAATTAAGTAACTTGGCCAAAATGACAAAGAAAATCTCTGTTCTGTTTCTACTGATTAATATTTAATACAGCTTCTGCATGACAAGGTCTTTTCATGCTATGTAAAACATCACGAATGGTCATTTCCTATCGCAGCTTCATCATGTGCAGCCATTAAAAATGAAAGAGATGTTAAATTAACTATATATGTTTTATTGTACAAAAAGGTACCTAGCACAACAGACTACAAATTATAGTACAAGTCTGTTTTGTTAATACTTAAGTTTGCATTGACTCATTTTGTACGAGTGTAAGTTTAACATTCATTAAACTAACTTTAAACTGTGATGTGTGCGTAACAGATGCGTATGCATGGACATGTAAAATGGACAGCTATTAGTCAAATAAAATGAGCTTTTGTTTTTCTAAAACCTGCCTTTTGAGATTTAAAATATTTGTATTTCTTTCTGTGCATCGCTGTGTAGTTTGTTCACTAAATGACTAAGTTTACTCTTTTGAATTTTAAATCTGTCCTACATATGGCCTTGTGGTATTATCATTAGAGTATTAATCCAGAGACCCAGGTGATATTTTGGGACCCTGGTTTTGAATCCTGCCATGGCAGAAGGTGGCATTTGAATTCAATAAAAAAAAAATGTATGGAATTAAGAGTCTGATGATGACCACAAAACCATTCTTTGTTCATGACATGTGTCTGGTTCACTAAAGTCCTTTAGGGAAGGACATCTGCCATCCTCATCTGGCCTGGCCTACATGTGACACCAGATCCACAGCAATGTGTTTGACTCTTGAGTATGCTATTAAATAAATATTATATAAATAAATAAAAATTATATAAATAATGTTGGCCAAGCCAGTGACAGCCTCATCCTGTGAATGAATAAGAAGTATTAGCCATCACAAATGTTACACTATTCAGCAAAAATAAAAAAGTATTAATTTATACTCAGTACATTTTCCATTTTAAAAAAAATTGAAGACAATTTTTGTCATTGTAACTGCTTATAACGAGATCCTTATAAAAATGTGTAGTAACATATTCAGCAAAATCTACAACAGGATAACATAAATTAGTTTATTGACTGTGGCCTACTGTAAGCAACCTGACAATTCAACTGATTTCAGAGTTAACTGCTTATTGTAAAAGCAAATTGTACAAAATTTGAGTACAGTAGTTTTAATGTATAAGTGGATTTTACATTACTGTCATAAATGCTGATCCATAGAATCACGAGGAGAGAACAATGATATATAAAGAGCCAGCAGACATATGATATGGAACAAGGGAAATTCACTAAATCCATTGCTGCAATGGTCGCATTGAATTTGTGTGAAGGACTCTATTTATTCAGCCTACTGTGGGCAGCATCAACTATGATGAGTATATTTTGTTTGTCACAGAATAGCTGACTAGGCAGCACTTAATCCCAATTCTGGTGAAGTGCAAATATTTATTAACCATAAAGTAAGCTAGGCGGTAATAAACAACATAACAGGTCTTCCTATTCTGGCTATGGGCATCAGAGCATACAGCAACTGGATTTGACCTGTAAACTTCACTAACTCTGACTCTGTCTTAAGCACTTGTCTCTTTGGACTTCCAAAACATGTTCAGGCCTCTTTGGATCCTGAGTAGAGGTAATTGCTTCTTTTTGGATCTACTTTTTCCTTGCTGCTACTGCAAACCGGGTGTCTCCATCTTTTTTATACCCTAACAGCTAAGTCGTCCCTTCTTTTCCATTGACAGCTGTGTGTTAGCTTTAAATCTAAATCTATTATCTTCCTAAGGAAGAGAGTTCTCAACATCCAGACACCTTACGAACGTATACTAGTTCTGAAGAATCTAATGTAGTTTCACGCAGTTAGAAGCAAGTATACAAGCCAAGGCTACAAAGATTCACTTAGTCTGTATTATGGTGTTTGAAATGTGTTATAAGAATTTATACACATGGTTTAATTCTTTTACAAAATGTAATTCAAAGGTATAATTTTCACACTAAGCAGACAACAAAAGATGACTGAACAATTTGCATTATTACCTAATTTGCAAAGATCTTTAGATCTGAATAGCTATAGTAATGAAGCAGTTCCTCTTATTTTCACACTGGGAAGGTACAGAGAAGATTTATAGGCAGGTTGCCATGAGTGGAAATTTTGAGCCATGCAGAATGTTTGAATAGATGGGGATTTAGAACAGGGGAGGTAGTGGGAAAATTTAAATGAGATGTATAAAGTTAATGGACCTAAATAATGTGGATAGGATGGAGCAATATCCTCTTTTGTGAAGATGTTAACAACCATGGCTGTAGGTTTGAAGTAATTAGCAGGAGTAAAAATGAGGTTAGGAGATTTATTTTCACCTATGGCTTTTTAGTGGTCTGGAACTCACCATCTGAAGGAGAAGCAGAAGTCCTCATGATAATTTAAGAAAAATATTTAGATATGCAGTGCTGTTAGCCACAAGATCATGGACTAGGGACTGAAAAGCAGAATGGCCAGCTTTTTTCAACCAGTGCAGAAATGATGCTGTAAATTTTCTGTTCCTAAATTCCTAAACTTGTGCCTAAAAGTTATGTAATCACTTGGAAGAGACGAAAAATCAGGTAAATCCTGATCAATTATAGTCCAAAAAATTTGGAAAGTTTCCGTGATTCTCTGATTCCTTTAGGTCCTTGGGAGAACTAGTTCAAGAAAACCACACTGGTCCTGATTAATGGCATATAGTTGTCCCCCTTTTAAGAAGTGATCGCCATCTGAGCTAGAAAGAGGTTCATTCAGTTTGGTATGAGTAGAAAATAAAAATCACAACTGATCAGTAAGGGAATCAAGGGTTGTGGGGAAAAGGCAGGAAAGTGGAGTTGAGGATTATCAGCCATGATCTCATTGAATGGCACAGCAGACTCAATGGACTGAATGGCCTATTTCTGCTCCTAATGTTGTTATGACAGGAGTATGCCTGAACATAATGAGAGCCTATTTGAATCCTCATTCCAATCTCTAATGGTTCATTCAAATAAAAGAAGAACCATATCAGACTCATAATGTTAATACTACTTATCGTCAGAGCTGCTGATTTCCTCCAGTATTCTTTCTGCTTGTAAAATGGCTCATTTGGCTGGAACATCAGATGGAGAGTGGATAGAAATGTAACTATGTATAAAAGTCCTTGTTATAATCATGTGACCTTTTCCATGCAGTGCTCATACTGCAGGCAGCCATCTTATGGGCACTTCAACAAAGACAACAGCCCACAAAACTGTGGCCCTGTGAGCACAGAACACAAAACCATTAATAAATCATCACAGCTGTTTGGAAGTCTGCTCCCATCTAGATCAATTACCATGGCACGTGAGTGCTAAGCAGCAGAAGGATGGTGAGAATTGCTCCGGTGTAATGGAGCAGGTTTTAGTGGTTGTTCCCTCAAGGTAGTACTGAAGCTGATCAATTTTGCAACCAACTACAAAGGTGAATAGGCAATTGAAGGGGCAATAAACCCAACAGGGGTTTCTCGTGACCCAATGCTAGGATCTAGAGGTCATCCTCAACCTCCAGATTCTTCCATGAGCAGGCAATGCCTTGTCCTTACCATTTGGGAATTACCAAGACCATAAAATCAGGTTCTAAAAGACCCACAACAAGGGAAATGATTGATTGGCCACATTTCCACTCAATAAATTTTAGAGAAATAAAATGAAGGGACGTAATTTCAACTTTGTCAATTGGTGCAGAATGAGGAATGATCAATGGTAAAGAAATGTTTTTCTAGTATTTTGGGTAGGGAAGATAGGGACAGTAGAGCCAGTGTTTTGATCGCCTCCATGTGGTGTGCAGGTTTGTTTTTGTTTAAATGGCTGAAAAGCTTTTATCTGCAGCCACATCAGCTGGCTGATGTCATTATTGTGCATTGCTATAGGTGACTTTCATACTCCCACCTCCTCCATAATTAGACCCCTTTGGATGCAACATTTTGAAGTATTAAATAATGATCATCATGGTACTTTGATGTTTCTGTTCTGCAAGAGTTCTGTGAGTTATTCAATCATTTACATTATGTTTCATGATGCCTATATGCAGATACATGACACAAGTGCATTAATCTACATTCATGTTTTGATAGCGATTAATTGTTAATTATTTCTTGCAAGAGAACCCCATAGCAGTATCATTTTACTGTTCTGTTTCTGACACCAAGGTGTACATGCTGGTGAAAAAAATCAAGCAATTGCTTGGTACATCTGTGCATTGTGAATTGATATTGTGGATGTCTCCTATGGGAATATGAAAGCATCCAGAATGGCAGAAGTTGAGGACGTTTATTACACTTGACTGCTACTTTGTAGTCCCTGTGCTGTTGACAGTTAAGTTTGCAACAAGCAACAGAATTCTGCCTTTGCTTCCCTATTGAAATTAAACCACAAAATGTTTCCTTCCCAATACATGGAAGTGCCAGGCAATGGATAATGGTGGGTGTGAACAGACTACTAAAGAGGTAGAGAAACATCCTCAGTGGTCCCTCTCCTGCCAATGAAAAGACAGCAGTGCAAGGATCATAGAAATGTTGCAACATAGGATTAAGTCCATGTTGGCTTTCTGGAAGAGCAATTCCACAGGCTGAATTTTAGTTCCAGGCACCCTACCTGACTCTGGGCTGAATTCTGGATCAGGAATCCGGAAGTGGCTGTGATGGAAAGTTTGGCCAATTCCAATTAAGTTTGCCAGGCTGAATCCACAACCAGGAGGGCCAATAGGAGTTTGTAAGGGCCTGAACAGCCTGTAGTCCCATCAGGAGATTTGGACTTTGGCACTAGAGGACACGTGCCGAGTCCGTCTGAGGCCGGGAGTCAAGAAGAAAAGAAACACCAAGAGAAATGAAAGACAGAAAAACAAGACAGAAGTGGAGGAGTGGACAAGCTCTGGCTGAATCATCCTACTCCACTGCCATCTTGGTCTAGAAGCCTTGAATGTTATGACCCTTCAAGTGCTTATCCAAATACTTTTTAAAGGTTATGAGGCTTGCTACCTCAACGACCATCCCAGGCAGTGCATTCCAGAACCCCAGCCTTCCAAGTGAATAAGTTACTCCTCTGAACCTGCTGCTTTTCACTTTAAAATCATGCCTGTGTCCGCAGCTGCCATATGATCATTACAGAGGTGGTGCTCCCTTCACAAGATGCCTTGCAAACACTGTCTCTTATAGGTCAGCATTTCCATGCTGGGTTGCTTTGCAGAAGGTGCCTGCAGCAACACCACCACCATACCTCACCCCCAAGGTCTTGCCACCAGGATGTTGCAAGCTATTCCTCCAGCGACATTGTGATGGGACGTGGGAATTTGGGGGTGACCTGCCCACCACCTAGAAAATCCAGACAGCACTTGAAGAGCACTTTCAATAGGAACTTTAACCGTTTAA